CTTTTAGAGAAATAAAATAGTCAGAAACTCGTACATACATTTTAAAAATGTGAATGGCTAAAATGCACAGCATTAGAATATTAGGCATAAACACACTCTAGTCAGTGTGAAAACTGGATATAGAAATGTGCACATTGGGAAAAAATGTATCCAGAAAATGTGTACAACTGTCCGTGTAGGAAGAATAAACTCTTTTGCTAACAGATTCGGACGGAGGACAGGACAAGGATGTAGGTGGGCTTCAAAGAAACATGAAGAAATCAAGAGTGAGGGATTTTCACATCTTTAAAAAAAAAAGGGGGGGGATAAATAGAGGGTTGATGTTAATGCTGCATCTGTGTTCCTGCCATCCAGCCTCCTTCCCTTGACCTACTGCAGAATGAAACTTCCTGAATTGACTGAACTCTATGCATAGCCAATTTTCTAAGGACATTGTAGAGTACAAGAGAGATTCACAGGCAGAGATAAATGGCCTTTTAAAGACCTTCCTGGGATATCTGTTTTTCTTCTCTGCAGCGCTCATTGCTTTCCCTCACCACTGCAGATAATGACCTTCTTTCACACATCTGCAAAAAAGTGTTACACCAGTCTCAGAAAGTCTGAAAGGGGTTCAAAGTGATGCATAAAAATGCACATGCACTCACTCCCTTAGTCCAAATGAAATATTCGATACCCAGAATGTGAAATTCAGATGGATCCTTTTTTCATTAAGTAGTGGTGCCTTAACTAGCAATTTTATAAGTTGAAAGCAGTTGCAATATGTCATGCAATTTATAGATCCCTGTGCCTGCCATAAAGTGTTTTATGATGGCTACATTCTGTGTTATTAGTAGCTGTCTCTTTCTGCAGCCATTGCCATTTGATAATAGTCTTAAAACACCCAAAATTACTTACCTGCAAGCAACATTCCAGATAGTGTCTGTTGACAGTTTGAATAAGTTTAGTGCCGTTTTGTGTACTTTACCTTCAAAACAAACTGATTGAACCATCAATAGCTCCTTGGAAGCTGACAGAGGCCTATCATCTGGTTTAACCCTCTGATAGTAGGTTATCTTTGGGAGTTAACCTCCTTGCATTGTTAACTTGAATGTTTTATGTACTATGCAACTTTAGGATAGTGCTATGATAACCTTAGTCACTAAGCTATACATCACAGTAAAGAGATCTGGAGCAACAAATAACCCTGGATTAAATTTACAGGGCTTGAATTTATATTATAACAGTTCATTCTCTGGTTTTAGTAATACTTTTTCGGTAGAAACTGTGTGTGTGTGTGTGTGCGCACGCTCTTAGACTAGAATTCCATATTTAAGTAGAAACATGTTTAATATTTTAAGATCTGTTTTCCTTTTTTTATGTTCAAAAGATGAGATAATAGGTATTGATATTCCCATATGTTGTACATAGCTAGATTAACCATTAGGCATGTTGTAAAATGGAGGAATTTCTATAAACTGTTATCTGAGCCTGTGCAGAAGACACGGATACTGAGTCAATTCAGATGCGGCATCCCATGCTCCCAAAGCTGAGAACAAGTGTGAGGGCTATGTGCTTCTCTCTCTTGCCCCTTTTGTCCTTCTTACACATCAGCTTCAGCTTCAGCTTGAAAACTGTGATGTAGTCTTGACTCTTAATGCCCTGATTAGTAATCTGATGTTAGAGCAGAATTCCCCAATCACGAGCTTTGGCTTAAACAAAACACTATCTTAGTTTTGACATTGGCATGTAGGAGGGGAATGGAATAAGGGAGAAGCATGCAAGCCCAACACTTGTTCTCAGCCTCATAAACAGTGGTTTTTGAAGATGGGTATATTACCTCCAGGGTGCCCCATTTTTTGTTACATGAACCATTCCTTCAAAGCAAAGAACATCTTAATTATCAAACGAATATCATAGAATCAGTGCTAGCACTGAAAGTATATAATATTGAGAGGAGTTCAGGGAATGAGTAAAGAAGGAGATGAAGAAAATGATAGGGAGGGGGTTGGAGGCCAAGCTGTCTGAAGATAAGTTGAAGGATTTGGCTGAAGAAGAGGCAAATGAGAAGAACCAAGTTAGTAACCTTCAAATTATTGAAGTTTGGTTAGATAAATAATGGAGCCAATTTTAGTATTTCGGGAGGTAGCATCTGAAATAGAGAGTTAAGTTGACCAGGGATGCTATAGTAGTGGATTTCATGCATTGGCTGGTGGATGGACTAGGTGATCATTTCCATCTCTAGGAGGTCATTTCCATCTCTGTTATCCTACTATTTGGACTGGGTGTTGTCTCTAGTATCCTACTCTTCAAATTAGATGTTGTCCTCGTCCTCATCCACTTTGAAGGGAACAGAAAAGGAAAACCAACTTTTATGAAAACTATGGGTAGCTAAACAGTCATGGGTTGCAGATTGCAGCAGGAAGGTGGCACAACTGTAAAGGCCCTGCTCTCCATATCATATTATCCCCCAAAATTGGAGATGTTGGGGCAGACCCCTGAGCATGTGGGAGCATGTACTGTGACTGTTGCCTCAGCCTCAGGATGACTATTTCAGTATATTCCCTGCCATAGGCAATATGTATTTGTGGTATTCAGTGGAGCTTGCGGAGAATAAAAAGTATAGCATGGCCAGGGAGTGCCACCCTACAGCATAAGTTAGTGTCTTTGTGTGTACCTCCGCACGCTTCATTTCTTCTTTTGATGGAAGGAATTTGTGCATTTGGAGGTTTAAGCTGGATGTTCTTCAAAATCGCATCATTATTGTGATGCTTTGGCTCTGATGACAGGATAGCTTTTAATGCCTGCTGCAGATTGCCTTTTATAGCTCATCACCCTTTGTTATAAAACATCTGCACTGCCAAGATGATTGGGGAAAGATTTCAGTTATATGGTCCATATGGCTTTCATTCTCACCCTTTCTCCCCACACACTTTCCCAGGTTTGGGGAGCTTCTTGTTTCCTTTCAGGAATAAGTTACAGAAATCTTACACAGAAAATAGAAACCTGCATGCCAGAATGATGCTGCCCCAAATGTGTACTGTCTTAGATGGGAATATAAGAGACTGACATTAGGGCTTTGGTCCAAAGCTGAGAGTGAAAGAGACTGTCTAAATCTGTTGTCATTTTTGTGGCTGCCTTCTTCTTGATGGCATCTTTCACTCTATCATTAAACATTTGCCAATTTTGTAATAGTGGTGTTTTCTGCACCTGAATATTAATCTTTTTTCACCCTACGCTTAGATGCGTATTTTTGCTCCTCCTGAGCTTTGCTCTTGACATTTTGTTTCCTTCTGTTCACATCTCTGTATGAAAGAACCTCTTGTCCTTTGAGTTTTTCTGCCAGTAACACAAGATGGAAGTGTTCTCTCCCACTGAAAGATAAGAGCCATCACAGAGGTTCACAGAGGGCTGAAAGGGCGCTCAGAGAACTTTGAGATATGTGTGAGAATATTTCAGCATCCCTAGACACACAGCTATGCTTAACAAATAGTCTAGCTCAGGACATGCTATGCTTTGTGAGAAACCCCCCCTCCTTTTCCTTAATATCAACTTCAATGGAAATTATGCTTTCGAGGCTGCGTCTTCACAGTGTTGGTGGGCTTTAACATGTGTTAGTGAGCCTGCAACATTCCATTTCATTAGGAATGTACAAGCCCACTGCCTCAAACATGAATAGTTGTAGCCTGCTGGCCGACTGACTTTTCGTTTTGTCCTTTTGTTGAAACAGTAAATACTGAATAAAAGCATGGCCACAGTTGCTTTGCAACTTAAGGAGAACTAGAAGAGACCAAACAATGACTGCACCCAGTTTGTACTTCTACCAAAAAAAAAAAAAAAAAGGCTGCTTATCCTTTTCCTGAACAATTCCAACTTCTCCAGATAACTTATTCCATTAAGTTCAAAGATATAAAAGGCTGGCCTTTATATTTGAACCAAACAATTCCCCCCCCTCATAATTCTGGACGTGTGCAGTTGCCTTTTCAACATGCCACAGGGACTCAGTCTGATTACTAGAATGACGGTCTATATAAACTTGGCATTTGTGGGAAATATTATCAATCACCTTTCTGTTTCCTGCCAGGAAAGGATCTGGTGCTTCCTCTCCCCGTCTCCACTAAGTCTGTTTCATATCTGGGTGGCTGGCTGTAAATAGCAAGTACTTGAGATGAGCTGATATTATCACCTTTAGGGTTGTTTTTTTAATTTAAAAAAAACATTGATTCATGCCATGCTGTGCCATGCACTGTCAGTTTTTTTGTGTGAATAAAAGGATGTCTGTGGGTGTTCGGGCTAGCCAAGTTCCAACAGTTCCTGCCAAAATATTAAAGAAATCTGGAGAAAGCTTCCAAGCCAAGTTCTAAACCTGGTATGCTACCCAGACATGAGACTATGCTCTCCTATAATAACATGAACTTTTACTTCATTACACCTGTATCTTCTCACTTAAAGGGTCAAGGAAGTACTGTATGAAGCTGCATTGCAAACATTAAAAAAAAAATCTAGTCTTATGAAAATGCTTTCGCACCCCTCAAAATTTAGTCCAAGCTTTGACTTCTGTTTATTTATTTATTTTACTTTTATACCACACCATCTATTAGCCTTGCCACTACTCTGGGCTGTTTCCACCAATAAAATAAGTGAAAAGAAAACTGCCAGATCCCATTCAAACCCCAAAATATAAATAAACATAATCTAAAAGGACAACAGACAACATTTACTATCATTGTGCCATTAATTTGTCCTTATAAAAACTATTAACATTCAAAGAGAATGACTCCAAAGTGGAATAGCTTTAGTTACATTAAGTGTCCAAAAATGGACACAGCATTCTAGTGGTCTCAGAACAGTCTACAAAATGACACATGAGGAACATTTTTAAAAAAAAGAGTTCCTGATTTAGTAAAAAAAGAAACTTGTTCTTACATGCTTCTTTTAAGTCATTTGAATTGAAAAACTTGTTCATAGAATAATGAACATCACATCTTAATGTGTTCACTTTGTTTTATTTTATTTAAAAACAGGTATTTTGTTTTGCACAAATTAACCAAACTGAAATTTCTGGATTCTCGGAAAGTAAGCCGAACTGAACGGGAGGAAGCCAGTCTAAGGGGAGCATTTATGAAGGTGGTGAAGCCCAGGGATGCTAAGGTAAGGTGCTGCATGAATGTTTATGGACTTATAGGTCTCCAGATATGGAATCTTGCTGTTGAAAGGCAATTGAAACTATAGCTGCTTCTCAGTTTTTTCTCAGTTTCTTTGTTCCTCTCCTACTACCACAGTGTGTTGGATCCAGAAGTGGAATTCTGCTGATTCAATGGGGCTTTTCAGCTTTTCCCCTAACTGTAGTTCTATGCCCCTGCAGCCTGTTTTTGATGATTAGGAGAACATGGGATAAGATTGGGATCTTGAATTATCGGATGAAGAACAAACTGTCATAATTCCCAAGGAGGCAGCTTGAATGAACGCAAGAGCCTTCCTGCTCCTTTAAGACACTATTAGCTCTAATGCAATATGAATTTCAGCAGGGCTTGTGTAGAAGATTCATGGTAGGAAAACCTTCTGATCTGTGCCAAGTTTGATTATAATCTAGTAGAACTGATGATGGATGGAAAAAGTTCAGAACAGTCCTCTCAGAGCCAAGCTTTCTGGTATCATTTGGCCCTGAGCTGCGCAAATTGTGGTTTTGCTTATTTAGGAAAAGTGGCTTTATGTGCACACAACTTGTTAGTGCAACACAGTAATATTCTGCCTGGTTCAGTATTTTTAGAGAAACCCAGATATTTTGGAATTATTTGATGTCAAAAATGCTATTCATTTATTCCATTGAGAACCTTTCTACAGGCTGGTGTATTTTGTAATACACGTGGTTAATCATTTATGGCAAGTTTCCAGTTAGCGTGAAGGGCAGTATAGTTGTTATGGAGTTGGGGCATAGGAGTGCAGCTACCTACATTTGCTATCCGCTACGCAAATTAATTCAAAGCTATTCATTTTATAACTATTAAAGTTTTAACAGTTCTTATTGAGGGATTGGTTTGACACATTGTTTACTAATGCCTTTAGATATTTCAACTGTTACAATGCAAGCCGCAATAAATGAAATCATTTGCTTTGAAGCTCTTATGAAAGGCTTCCTCCTTTGCTAAGTCCTCTAAAATGCAACAGTTGAACATACAAAGATGTTATGTTTATTCCGTCTTCTTTTTGTAACCATATCAAATCACAATTTACATAAATATCTTCCTATTCCTGAATTTCCTGACAGTTATATTATACAAAATAGGTGTGCTTCCTAGTCCAGTCATGGAAGGAAGAAGTGGGCTTTTGTTTTGTGCATTTTTGCTGATGTCTTTTTTTAATTTAATTTTTCTTCTAGCTGTTCCTTTAAAAAAAAATCCATTGTCTAAAAGTATGGTTTTCCAATTCAGACAGATAGCATCACATTTTGCTCTTGTTTTGCTCTGTTAATTCTCTTCCATGTTCCAAACTATATAATTTTTGAATTAGTTGTCTGTTATACCTTCCTCCAAAACATATATTTATTTCCCCAATCCTTTTTAGCACAAGGTGCACATTTAACATTCTGATAGGCCTTTCTAAAATTGCTTGCTACAGAATTGCTAGGTCTCACCGATCATAATACATTCCCTTTTGTAAACATTTTGGATGCCACGAGCAAATGCCGCTTGGTGTGCAATAGAATTATTATCATTACGCAGTATTATGCATTGCCCATATAGTGGTTTATCCTAAGGAACTGTGGAGTCGGTTTGAATCTATTAAAATGCTTTTGGTGCACAAAAACTGTAGGCACAAAGCCTCATGCATACAGTATGAACTATCTTCATTGTGAAATTTTAACTGTGCAAACATGTGTTGCCCAAAAGGCTTTTCAGCAATGTAACCAGTGAGTTTCTACTAAGCCATTCACCTCCTACACGGCATATGAAACACTTGTATCTGCCTTTTCCATGCTCTTTTCTGTGCCTGGTCTTTCTGTCCCATAAGTATCAAATATCCCCCCCAACAAACACATTTTTTTGTTTCATATATTCACTGACCACCAAGACAAGAGCACTTTTTGGTCAGCTCTGATCAGTATTGTCTGTCGTGGTTTGCTTCTCTTTGCACTGCGCCACAACCCACTCAGTATCATAACAAAATATGTAAACAGAACCTACAATCTCTTTGAGCATCCAGCTTTTGGGCCATGCCCATGTTCATTGTAAAATGTAACTTTGGTCTTTCTCTTCCCTCCATTTCCCTCCACACCGCACCCTGTATTTTGTTTTCCACCACTCCTCTCTCAAAGGCACAAAAGAATTCATTTAAGGAGACCATCTGGCCTAGTTGTCAGTGAGATCGTAAACCTATTTTTCAGTTGTGTCACTTCATATTTCACATGGGGCTTACATGACTGAAGGTTCTTCTGTATAAAGAAAGTCTTTTTATACAGAAAATAAGGCGTTTCCAATTCAGACAGAGGGCATCAAGTCCTCTCGTTCTGCTCTGTTAATTCTAGTTATAGCTCAACCATGCCCCTAGAACACTCACGTTTTCCATGTTCAGGGAATGATTGCTCTATGGAGAAGTATTCAGACATGTGAAACACACAAGCCCTATTCAGTCATTACTTTAAATTGTTTTCTTCCCTACACACTTGGAAGGCAGCACCTAGCCCCTCCCCTCCCATCTCCTCAGCCATTTTCTCCCCATGGGAGAACAACATGTTTGTAGAGAGGAGATTCCTACTTTTGAGCAGGCTCTCCATGCAAGCAGGAGCCTTGTGGTGAAAGCAATGCCAAGGCAGGAGAAGGGCTAGGCACTTTCTTCTAAGTATGTTGTGGACAATCACAAAAGGAACGAATGAATAAGCTGTTGAATGCCACACAGAGAACTAAACCTCCACGTATCTGAAGGGTAACAACAGAGTGCTGGGTTTTTAAAACATCTGTACGTTATGACTATGTTACACTGGGATGGATGTCAAATGGCTACTGAATATTTCTAAATATTTGTTATTCACACACATTGCCTTGGAGAATGTATGTAATCTAAGGGCATCAAGAGAAGACTGTGTACATCTTCTGGTCAGGAAGGATAGTAATCAGTCAGAGATTCAGGGAATTTGATTTGATTGGCCATTTCTTCAGAGCGTGATTAATATTGAAAGGCTCTATGTCACTTTCTTAACAGTGCTCAGGTAATATATATAGTCCCAAAACAGAGAATATGTGAATTGATAATCAAATTTGCACAGTATTTCTTAACATTATCACCTGAAAACTCCATGTGGCTATATCAGAGGGAGAGATAGGATAGCAGTCATCAGTTTGCCAACTTAGTTGAGAGGCTAACTTCCTTTGTCTCCTCTTCTTGCTAAACTATAAGCTATGGGCAGCCTTTCCCTGTGTCTCCACTGGAAAAGAGTAGTTGCCATAGCTGGACACCACATGTGGCTGTTATAGAAGCAAGAGACCCAATGGCTCAGCAGAAACATCAGCTGCCTTTTGCTCCCCCACCCCCCATTCCTATTTCCATTCAACTTGGCTATTGTGAGAGTCATGTAACTTTAAGTCTGAATTTGCTAGTTTCACTGCTTGTGCCAACTTCTTCTGTCTATTGTACATTTTGCACTGAAAGCCTGCAGACAGGAACTGTTCTAATTGTTCTAATTTTTATATAGCCTTGTTTTATTCTTTTCTACCACATCCAGTGCCTTTTAGATGATTTATTAATGATTGAGATTCATATTATGACTGGGCGACATGAAATTCTCTATGCATACTATTGTCGTGGGCACATTTTCTGTGCCTTCATGTAATGTTGCAAATGTTTATATATATTTCTCGTTGAACTTGCACTTATTATAAGATTGTGGATGTGCATGTGTCTGTGTGTCTGTGTCATATGTCTGTGTCTGCACCCATGCAGCAAGGCGCAATAGACTACAGTCACCAAGAGGAAAACCTTGTTCAGGCTATTCATTAGTGTAATATGGAATTAACTTTTGGAATAAAATCTAAAATTAAGGTTACCTTCATGATAAACAGAAACTAATCAGCTTATTCAGCAGAACCAAACAATGAACAATGGTAGGCAGGGTGCTACTTGTGAATTGATTTCATCCCATGCTTGACATAAACTTCTTTGGAAAACAAGTTACCCTTCGGAAAACATCACATAAAGTAAGACTCAAGGCAGGATATTTTCATCCAGCTAGCTTATGTTTACTCAAATGCAAAAAGCTAGCAATCACCAATCTTCATGGAATCATAAATATTTAATTTTGTCTAACTCACTGCCTTTCTCTAGTTTTTATTTTTCTTAACAGAATGCTGCTTTCTTCTGCTTTGCTTCATTTCATCTTTTGTTGCTTAAAGTCTGTTTGTGATGGGACTGTCGTTACGGGGAAGATACAGTCATTCATTAGAAAACAGCTTAACATTGCAATGCTCTGTTCTGTCTCGCCATGTAAAGTGAGCCGAACTTCATTACCCAGTGATGTTTATATTTAGAGATGTCAAAATATTGAACGTCGTCTCGGGCTTGATTTTTAAAAATAAAAATCTTGCAAGCCTGGCTGGGCAAGGGGGCATCATGCCAGACGAGGAAGCTTCATTTAATGACCAAACCATGACCTCATTTTGCTGGCATAAGTGTAGATCAAAGTGGAAGATGCCTGTCCAGTGCAAAGCATGTTGCTTGGCCTGACAGCTCTTCACATCAGAATGACAGCTCAAGAATACGACAGCCAAAATTGCTTAATTATGCCCCAGCCTTGTAATTATTCATCCCTGCTCCTGCAAAGAGCACAGTTGTCATTTCTTTGACATAATTATTTAGAGCTGTGCCCTTATTCTGTTCAAAGCTTGTACAGTAGTCCCAGAAGGACTTGGATGTGCAGCAGGGAACGGGGGTTGGGATAAAAATGGAGGAGAAAGAGGGTGAACATCTATTTGGTTGGATTTTTTTTTTTTTTTAACGTTTAGGGTGTGATTCTTTCCTTGGCCATATCTTCCATCTTTTCAGGAAGCACAATTTAATGGTGAAACTAAGTTGACTGATTTCTCTGCCATAATGAGTGGGGTGGGTCCTTTTCAACATTTCAAGAGCAGGAGTTTTATGTTTTCAAGCAAATGCCAAAT